GGACTCTTCCCCCTCTGATCCTTGGGAACGAACGCCTTGACCTTGACTCCGCACGGACAGATGTTCCTTTTCTTGGCTAGCAGATCCTTGTACTCACATGCCTGGCATGCCTGACAACGCCTCCACAAGCGGGTGCTGACATCCCTCGCGTTGACATCTCACTGAAATCTCCGGCTTTGGTCGACAATTCTGGGGATGGGCCCAAAACTGAAGTGCCTCAAGCGCCACAGGCAGGCAGAGGAGACTTGGCGGGAGGTACGGTATCAGGAGGAGGAGGAGGAGGAGGAGGAGGAGGAGGAGGAGGAAGAGGAGGAGGAGGAGGAGGAGGAGGAGGAGGAGGAGGAGGAGGAGGAGGAGCAGGAGGAGCAGGAGGAGGAGGAGGAGGAGCAGGAGGAGGAGGAGGTGGTGGTGGTGGTGGTGGCTGGCCCAAAGGCGGGTTCATAATCAGATGTCGAGATCGCTCTCCGAGGCATCGGGCTCCTCGCCCGTGCCCCTCCCAGCGTCTCGCAGTGAGACGTGCCCCAAGGCTCTCACCCCAGGGAGGTCGGCTTTTTCGATGCCGAAGGAGGCCAGCACAGAAACCAGGGACCCGGACAGCTCCAGGCTCCGAGACCTGCGACACGGGGCAGGGCCTACCGACCTGTCTCTCGATCTCCGCTCTCTCCTGCAGGCTCAATGGACACGTCGAGCCGACCACGAGGGATTTGGTGAAGGCCCGATAGTGGGGGTGCTTACCCTTCCGTACTCTGCTCAGCTGGCTCCTGATGCCAGGGCTCGTTGGACTCCCTTGGCACCTGTCCCTCATTAAAGGCCCAGGTCGGGTGTCAGATCCATAAGCCCCGCAACGGATACAAAACACGATGGATGTACCCTCACGCGAGGGAGTCTCGATCACACACTTGACCAGACCGTGCCCTAGGAGGTAAAAAGCTGAGGACACTTGCTCAGCCCACTCTTCCTGGCACACGTTCCCCCCACGACGCACGTCGGCGGGTCCACGACGCACTCCTTCTCATCGGGCGGGGGCTCGGCGGCGTCTAGCAGACCGTCACCCGCTGCAACGTCGAGGCCTGCTGCGGACGCGGGCGGCTGACCTGGCGGACCTGGCTGCGCCAGCCCCACGGTGTCCTGTCGGTCTGTCGACCGCTGGGAGAGGATGACCTCCAACCTACCTCCCCACTTGCAGGATTCTGCCGCCAACGCCTTGAAACCTAGAAAAAGAGTGGCATCTTCGTCCGACAGCCCGTGCAAAGCTGCGCCTGCCTTTGCATACGTTTCGTCGCTCTGGTTAGCTTTGCGTTCCCACCACGTGGATCTACCAGCCTCAACATCTTGCGCCGACGCATGGGCCAGGGTCTTGTGGGCTCTGATGTCCGAGGCTCCGAATGCCCTTCAAAAGGGGCCCCGCAGGTGCGTCTTGGCCGAGCCTGCATCGACACCCGACCCTGGGCCCCTACAAATAATATCTAGCGTCGACTGGCAATCGAGACACAGCTCAAACGGGCCCATGCTTAGGTACGCTAACATGTGGATGGCCAAGTCCTCACCATGCTTAGCCGTCTGGCGAGGCCCAGACTTGAACGTCACGGGCCCGTACGCGGCATGCAGCACATTCCCGAGCCGATCGACCTGTACGAGGGCCCATCCAGCCCAACTGACCCCTGGGAGCCATGACCAGAAGGCCGAGATGACGGCTTGTAAAAACAGTGAGCAGGCCAGATGACGGCTTGTTGACCCAATGAACCTGAACCTGAACTTCGGGCTCCTCACGGGGGAAGAAAAGGCCAAGGGAGAGGGGACAACTCCTCTCGCGAAGCGCTCTGCCACCTCCCGGCTCCCCGCCCCCACACGTCTAGCTCTCTCGGCCAGCAAGGGGGAGACCTCACCTCTCCTCAAAGCCTGGTGCTCCTCACTCTCGTACTGTCGGTGCCACAAGGTCCCTTCGCTGGCCGTGCACAGTCTACACAGTCTGGACACATGCATCCCATGTCCGTGCAGACGTGCCTGGGGCCAGTGAGCATTGCACATCAGCGAACGAACGGCTCTCTGGTGGTGCAACGTCCAGCCCTGTCGCTTATTCCTGAGGACAGAGCGCACCCCTTCCCCAAACATGGGCCAGTTTGGGACACGATGAGGCCCAGACGCCGTAAGCCTGCCTGACTGGTCTAGGGCAAGCCTGCCGGACGCCCTCATGCCCCCCTCCTGAACGAGTTCTTTCAGTTCAAGAGGGGCTAGCTGATTTAGATTCCACACAGATCCTAGATCGTCCCTGAGCTCGGAAAAACGACACAAACTTCCAGCCTATGCGTTCAGCCGTCAACACCGCCGCGTCCGCGGAGGGGAGGAGGAGGAAGAGTAGGAGGAGGAGGAGGAGGAGGAGGAGGAGGAGGAGGAGGAGGAGGAGGAGGAGGAGGAAGAGGAGAAGGATGAGGAGTTACAATATGCCCTTGGGTAGTCGTGCGGCCCTCGAGAGTGCCCTAGGTGATTCTTTGGGATATTTGGGAGGAAGCGGCGGAGGAGAAGGATGAGGAGGATGGAAAGAGCGTGTTCTACCGCTGCTGGCGGAAAACTGGGGGGGGTCACTACCGGCTCGACCCCCCCCTTCTCCGGAAAACCGGGGGGGGGTCACTACCGGTTCGAAGCCCTCCCCCCCCCAGTCCATCATGAAAAGGGGGGGGGTCACTACCGGTTCGAACCCCCCCCTTCCCCCTCGAAAACCGGGAGGGGTCACTACCGGTTCGAACACCCTCCCCCCTCCCCCCCCCCCGAAAACCGGGGGGGGTGCGGACAGTGGTGGGGACGGTGGTGGGGACATTGGTGAGGGGACAGCGGGACAGTGGTGGGGACAGTAGGACAGTGGTGGGGACGGTAGTGGTGGGGACACTGGTGAAGGAGGTGGTGAGGACAGTGGTGGGACAGTAGCACAGTGGGGAAAGTTGTGGGGACAGTGGAGACAGTGGGACAGTGATGGGGACAGTGGGGACGCTGAAACAGCACAGTGGGACAGCGGCGGGGACAGTGGGACAGTAGTGGGGACAGTGGTACAGTGGTGGGGACCGTGGGGAAAGTGGGGAGAGTGGGACCGTGGTGGGACACTGGTGGGGAGAGTGTTGACATTGACACACTGGTGGGGGCACTGGTGGGGACAGCAGGGACAATGGTGGGAACAGTGGATACAGTGGGACACTGGTGGGGACGGTGGTGGTGGGGACAGTGGTGTGGGGACAGTAGGAATGTGGTGGGAACAGTGGGACAGAGGAGCTGCAGTGGTGGTGGGGACAGTGGTGAGGGCGATGGCGAGGATGGCGGTAGGACAATGGGACAGAGGTACAGTGGGGACAGAGGTGGGGACAGTGGGGACAGTGGTGGGAACAGTGGGACAGCTCAGTGGGACAGCGGAGGAGACAGTGGGACAGCGGGGACAGTGGGGACAGTCGGGCAGTGGTTGGGGCCGTGGAGAGAGTGGGGAGAGTGGAACCATGGTGGGAACAGTGGTGGGGACAGTGGGGACAGTGCGACTGTGGTGGGGGCACTGGTGGGGACAGTAGGGACGGTGGTGGAACCAGTGGGGACAGTGGTGGTGAGGACAGTGGTGCTGGGAACAGCAGTGGGGATGTGATGCGGACGGTGGTAGGGACCGGGAGTCGTTTGCTGGCGGTGAGGGGGGGGTTCGAACCAGTAGTGACCCCCCCCAGTTTTCGAGGAGGAAGGGGGGGGGAGGGGTTCGAACCGGTAGTGACCCCCTTCGGTTTTTGAGTTATCGGGGGGGGGGGAGGGGTTCGAACCGGTAGTGACCCCCCTCGGTTTTCGAGGGGGGGGGGGGGGGCTCGAACCGGTAGTGACCCCCCCGGTTTTCGAGGGGGGGGGGGTTCGAACCGGAAGTGACCGCCCTCGGTTTTCCGGAGGGGGATGGGGGGGTCGAACCGGTAGTGACTTTCCTCTGGTTTTCTGGGGGGGGAAGGGGTTCGAGCCGGCAGTGACCCCCCCGGTTTTCCGAGGGGGGGGGGGGTTCGAAGCGGTAGTGACTCCCCCCAGTTTTCCTGAGAGGGGGGGGGGCGGTTAGGGGATGAGGTGGGGTTTTGCCAGGGGAAGGGGGGGGGCGTCCAGCCAGGGGGGGGGGTGATTCTCGGAGGGTGGGAGGGGATCCTCGGGTTCCGGAGGAAGAGGGGGGGGAAATTTCCATAGTAAAGCGGCGGTGGATCACGCCCTCTCGGAAGATGAGGACGGGCAGGTAGAATGGAGGATGATAATGCGATGAGAAGAACTAGTATAGGGAGGAGGGAGGAGGAGGAGGAGGAGGAGGAGGAGGAGGAGGAGGAGGAGGAGGAGGAGGAGGGGGAGGGGGAGGGGGATGAGGAGGAGGAGGAGGAGGAGCAGGAGGAGGAGGAGGAGGAGGAGGAGAAGGAGGACGAGGAGGAGGGCGCGCCTCCGGACTGGTGTTTGCAACAGTGTCACAGGGGCCGTGCAGTTGCTGCTCCAAGCCCGCTTTCTATGCTTGGAGTTTATGCAAATTTACCAGACGCCTGCGCGCGGCGAAGAGGGGAGGGCCGCTTAAAGTAAACCCCGCCTTCCACCCTTGACCTTGATGCAAGCTTTTGAGACGAGTGTGCGTGCCTCGAAGGCCAGAACCACATGGAGGGAACCTCACGCCCTCCATCCTTGAACCTGTTTCCAGGTTTTTGAGACGAATGGGCGCGGCGCTAAGGCAAAAACCACATTTTGATTCCACCCGCCATTCATCCTTGGAACTGTTACATTCAGTGCCATACATGGTGTGAGGAATTCTCACGCGAATAGCCCAGCCCGCCCCACCAATACGTCTGGGGATCCATGGGGGGGGGGATTGGTATATGGATGCAGCATAGTGGACAACGACGAGGGCGACCGCGAACACAGAAAAAACGTCGCCGGCGACGAAAACAACAACGAACGATTGCGGCGGCGACGTCGACGACGACGTCGACAACGATCACTTCGATGTGGCCATCCCGCGAGCCGAGGACCCGGATCCGCGCGGAGGCCGTGCGGAAGACGGAAGCGGCCCGGGCCCTGCAGGCCCCACGCGGTCTGCGCGCGCGCGTTGTGGCCGTTGCCCCCCCCGACAGCGACGATGACGACGAAGACGACGACGACGACGACGACGACCGACGACCGATGACCGACGACCGACGGCGGACGACGGATGACTGGGGACGACAACGACAACGAAGATGTCGACGACGGACGATGGCGATTGGCGCGACGACGACGACGGGCGACGACCGACGAAAACCGACGACGACCGACGACGACGACGTTGACGCTGACGCTGACGCTGACGAAGGCGACGACCGACGACGACCGATGACAACCGACGACGAACGACGTCGACCTCGACCGACGACGACAGACAACGACCACGACGAGAAGGACAGGTGACGACGACAACGATGACGACTCACGATCGACGACGATCGACGTCGACGACGACCGACAACGACGACGCTGATGACGACGACCACGACGGCGACAACCGACTGACAACGACCGACCGACAGACGACCGACGACGGAGATGACGACAATCGACGGGCGATGACAACGATGCCGACGAAGACGGTGACCGACGACCGACGACAATCGGCGTCGACGATTACCGACGACCACGACGACGCTGACGCTGACGACGACGACGACAAACGACGGACGACCGCGACGACGACGACGGACGGCGACGAAGACGACCGACGACGGATGACCGATGACGACCGCCGTCGACGACGACCGACGACGATGACGACGACGTTGACGCCGACGACGACCGACGTCGACGACCGACGACGACGACGACGACGACGACCGACGACCGACGACCACCGACGACCGACGTCGACGACTCACGACCACCGACGACGGCGGACGACGACGACGACGACGGCGACAAGTACGACGGGCGACGACGATGGCGAGGACCGACGGCGACCGACGACCGATGACCATCGACGTCGACCAGGACGACGACGACGACGACGACGACGATGACGAGGACGACCACCGAACGACGATGGACGGCGACGGCGACCGAAGACGACGACGACCGACGATGATGACGACGACGACGGATGGCGACGACGACGACCGACGACGACGACGACGACCGACGACCATAGACGACGACGACCGACGACGACGACTTCGACGAGGACGACGACGACGACGACGACGGCGACGACGACGACCGACAACCACCGACCGACGACCGACGACGACCGACACTGACGACGACAATCGACGACGACGAACGACGGCGCCGACGGACGGCGACGACGACGATGACCAGGACGGCGACAATGACGACGACGACGACGACGAAGGTGGCGGCGACGACGACGACGACGATGACCGATGACGGCCAGGACGAGGACGACAACGGACGACGACGACGACGGCGGCCACGACGACGACGACGGGCGGCGAGGCCGACGACGACAATTGACGACCAACAACGATCGTCAACGACCGACGGCAAAGTCGACGCTGACGACGACGATGACGACGACGACGACGAAGACCGACGGCCACCGACCGACGACCGACGACGACGACAACGACGACGACGGACGACGACGGACGACGACGACTACGACGACGGCGCCGACGACGACGACAACAACGACCACCGACGACGACCTTAACCGACGACGACCGACGGACGTCAACGACGACGCCGACGACGACGACGACGTCGAAATTAGACGACGACAACCACCGACGACGACGAGACGACGAAGACGACGACGACCACGACGTCGAGGACGACGTGCGACGTCGACGACGAGGACCGGCGACGATCGACAGGGACGACTACCGACGACGACGCTTACGACGACAACGTCGACGAAGTATAAGACGGCGACGACCGACAGACCGACCGACCGACTGACGACCGACGACGACAGACGTCGACGACGACCGACGATGACGACGTCGCACGACGCCGACGACGACGACTGACGATGACCGACGCCGACGATGATGGACGACGCACGACGACGACGACGACGACGGTGATAACGACGACCGACGTTGACGACGACCGACGACGACGACGTCGACGATGACGAGGACGACGGGCGACGACGACGACGACGACGACGACCGACGACCGACGGTGACCACGATGACGGCCGACGACCGAGGACCGACGACGTCGTTCGACGTCAACCGAAAACGACGACGACGGACGGCGTCGACGACGACGACCACGAAGACTACGACGTTGACGACGACGACCGATGTCGATGACGATGGGCGACGACGACGACGGACGGCGTTCGCCGACGACGGTCGACGACGATGACGATGGGCGACCGACGACGACGTCAACGACGACGACGACGACGGCGATGACGACCTCGGCCGTGGCGACGACGACGACGACCGACGACGACGACGAGGACGACGACGAGGACGACTGACGACGACGACCGACGACGGTCGATGTCGACGACGACGCTGACGTCGACGACGACGACGACCAGAGTACCGACGACGACGATTACGACGACGACGACCGACGACCTCCGACCGTTGACGACGATGACGTCGACGACGACGACTGACGACGACGTCGACCGACGACCACCGACCGAGGACCGACGACGACGTGATGCCGACGGACGACGACGACGACGACGGACGGCGACGACGACGACTACTTCGACGACGGCAACGATGACAACAACAACGACCCACGACGCCGACGACGACGACGATCAACGACGACGACCAACGACCGACGACGACCGATATCGACGACGACCGTCGACGGTGGCTGACATTCGACGACGACGACGACGACGACGGCGATGATGTTTAGGACGTGTGCAGCGGCGGCGGCGACGACGACGGCGACGACGACCGACGTGGCGACCACAACGACGACGACGATATCGACGACGACGATGGATGGGCACGGCGAGGTCGACGAGGTCGACCGCGAACGGTACCGGCCGCGAAGTCGACGACGAACGGTGTCGCTGCCGAGAAATCCCAGGCCCAGGGAAGCTTGTCCCAGGGGGGTTGTCCTGGGGGGATTGTCTGGATCTCTGCTGGGTTGTCCAAGAGGCTGTCCAGGGAAGGTCGTCCTGCCGCCATCCATCAGCATGGGTTGTCCGGCTTGCCCGCGGGGTGGTCTGGACATTTTGTGGACTGGGCATCTTCCAGTGAGATCACAGAAGACTTACCAGATCAGAAGTCCCCTCGGCCTTCTGATCAGAAGGCCGAGGGGACTTCCGAGCCTTCCGAGAAGCCCTCCTCCTCCTCGCCTTCCCCCCCTTCGCGCGCCGCCGAGACCAGCTACCCCGGCCCGGCCCGGCCCCGCCCCGCCCCCCTCTCGCGAGGAGGCCGGCCTCCCCGACCCGAACTGCAAGACGGGCGTGATCAGCCTGAAGGCGCGGCAGCCCCGCTCGCGGAGTCGCCGCTGCCTCTGCTCTCGGCATCGCTCGGGCGCTTCTTCTTCTCTTTTCTTCCTGGCCAGGGCCCTCGAGCAGCCTTCGCAGGAGGCGCGCACGAGGTCCAGCAGGGCGCAGGGGGACGGACGTCCGAGCGATGGCGAGGCCGAGGCCCGGGGCGTTGCAGTTCCTCCGCGCCGGGCGTTTTGTTCGCCCCCCGCTCCGCCGGCTCCCCTCGAGCTCTGTTGCACTTCGCAAAAGTGCTCCGCTCCGCCGGCTCGCCTCGAGCTCTGTTGCACTTCGCGTTTTTTTCGCTCCGCTCCGCCCGATCTGTTGCACTTCTCAAAAGCCGGCCGGGGCCCTCGCGCATCGGTCCGGCTTTTGAGAGGTGCAACAGCACGACGGGGCCTAGAGTTGCGTTGGGCATGCCCCTCTACAGGGGGCAGAGTGAAGAATGGTAGAAGCAGTCGGGTGACGATTTTTCGTGCTTGTTTGATGTTTTTTAAATGCTGTTTTGGCAATGCTTATGCTTCTTCTAAAATCCGCCTGTAGGAGGGCGTGCCCGACCTACGCTTTCAGGACTCGGGCCGTGATTTCTCGCGATTCTGCAGCTCGTTCGCAGCGTCTGCTCCACGGATCTCGGAGCCGCGTATTCCAGATCTCACAATGGCAGGGGTGGGGGCAACCAAGTGTTTGACAGCGCGTCTGGGACCCCCCCCCCCGAGAGCGGTGCAACCATGGGCCCAGCCTCGAGATGCCCCCCCAATCCTGTTTGACGACGAGGTCCGTCAGACCCCCCAAAAGTAGAACCCCCACCCCATGATTATGAGATCCGGAGTAATTATTGAATGATGCGGTCAACGTCATCGTAACTGGTACCCACTAACGGTGGAAGTTTGCTGAAAGTTGCTACTTCAGGGCCTCTTTCTGGCATTGCAGCGTTGCCCTCATCGGGGAGGGTTGGGATCGCCGGTGTTATGACCGTGGATAGCGCCAGTCGCGGGGTTTGAGATTTCGTCGCCCCTCCCCCTCCTCCCGCCAGCTGTTTGGTATTGGTTTGCTCGCCTCCTTGGCGCGTTTGCCCGTTCGTTTCGTTTTGGGCGGGAGCAGGGGTTCTTGGGGCAAAATGAGTTTTGGGGCGCGCTGCTTCAAAATTATCCTGGCGAGGGACCCAACCATGTGTGGTTGTAAGTAACGCATTTGTGGGTATCGACCTCGGTGAACCTCTCTGGGGTCAAGACGCGTGTGACGAGTGTGCCAAAATTGACACGGGTACGCCGTGCGGACGCTGTCACCGGAGCCGTCGGTGGAGACCCGTGAGAGACCACGGAACGTGTGAGGGGTGCGCCCGAATGCAGGGTGGAACCGCGTGCGGGCACTGCCACGAGTAGGACCTTCGGTGGAGTTCCTTACGGGGCCACGAAAATGTGCAGGGTGCGCCGAAATGGAGGTGGAACTGCATGCGGACCCTGCCACTGGGGCCTTCGGTGGAGCACCCTGTGGGGCCATGAAACGTGTGAGGGGTGCGCTGAACTGGAGGTGGAATTGCGTGCGGACCCTGCCACTGGGGCCTTCGGTGGAGCTCCCTACGGGGCCACGAAGCGTGTGAGGGGTGCGCCTAACTGGAGGTGCAACTGCATGCGGACCCTGCCACTGGGGCCTTCGGTGGAGCGCCCTGTGGGGCCACGAAACGGGTGAGGGGTGCGCCGAACTGGAGGTGGAACTGCATGCGGACCCTGCCACTGGGGCCTTGGGCGGAGCGCCCTATGGGGCCGCAGAACATGTTACGGGTGCGCCGAAATGGAGATGGAACTGCATGCGGACCCTGCTATTGGGGCCTTCGGCGGAGCGCCCTATGGAGCGCCCTATGGGGCCACGACACGTGTGAGGGGTGCGCCGAACTGGAGGTGGAACTGCACACGGACCCTGCCACTGGGGCCTTGGGCGGAGCGCCCTATGGGGCCACGAAGCGTTTGAGGGGTGCGCCGAAAGGGAGGTGGAACTGCACGCGGACCCTGCCACTGGGGCCTTCGGCGGAGCGCCCTATCTGCCACTGGGGCCTTCGGTGGAGCTCCCTACGGGGCCACGAAGCGTGTGAGGGGTGCGCCGAACTGGAGGTGGAACTGCATGCGGACCCTGCCACTGGGGCCTTCGGTGGAGCGCCCTGTGGGGCCATGAAACGTGCGAGGGGTGCGCCGTATTGGGAGTGGAACTGCACGCGGACCCTGCCACTGGGGCCTTGGGCGGAGCACCCTATGGGGCCACGAAGCGTGTGAGGGGTGCGCCGAAGTGGGCATGCGAGAGAGCAGAGGCAGGGAGGGGAGGGTGAGGAGGGTGAGGGGGAGGAGTGAGTGGAGAGACGCGGGGCGTTGTCTCTTCAAAACGATGACCCACCACCACAGGATGGTTGGGAACAAAAACTAGCATATCTAACAAAATCAAAGGCTGCCATGCCGAACTCTGCGACTCGCTGGGTCTCTGGCCAACGTACCCGTCAGCGGAGTCCCCGTTGAAGGGAAGCCGATGCGGGCCCTGAGGGACCACGGGCCCCCCTGGCGTTTTTTGTGTGCCTCGTTCTCGGGCGGTCCCGGCCCCCCCCCCCTCTCGGCCGCCGGGCGACGGCTCGGGGAAGTCATTGATGTTGGCCTCTTCGGGCCTTCCTGGATGCCCTCTTGGAGGTCTCTTGAGCCGTCTTGGAGACCTCCTGGGGGCCTCTTGGGCCGTCTTGGGCCACCTTGGAGCCGTCTTGGGCCGTCTTGGAGGCTTCGTGGGCGGACTTGGAAGTTTCTTGGGTCCTCTTGGGCCCTCTTGGAAGCCCTCTTGGGCCGTCTTGGAGGCCATCTTGGACCATCTGGGGCGAACTTGGAGGCCTGTTGGGGCCTTCTTGGAGGCTTCTGGAGCCGTCAGGATGTCATCTTGGGGGCCTTTGGGGCCATCTTGGGGGCCTTTTGGGCCGTCTTGAGCTGTCGACAGGCCGAAAAGAAGCAAATACCAAAATCTTGGAAACACCAAAGGACAACACATTATTTTTGCCTCTTCGGGCCCTCCTGGAGGACCTCTTCGGCCGCCTTGGGCCGTCGTGGAGACCTCTTGGATGCCACTGGGGCCGTCTTGTGCCGTTTTGGAGGTTTCTTGGGTGGACTGCGAGGCATCTTGGACTCGCTTGGACCCTCTTGGAGGCCATCTTGGACCATCTTGGGCGAACTTGAAGGCCATCTTGGCCGTCTTGGAGGCCCTTTTGGGCTATCTTGGAGCCATTTGGACAAGGCACAACCTTTGGACCCCCCTCGCGAGCAGCCTTCCGGTTGGCAGGCAGGACGCGCCGAAGCCCCAGGGGAGAGTTCTGTTTATGATCTAGCACGCCAGGCACCCCTGTGACAAGCACAGTGGGCGGCGGATCGAAGACGCCTACGGCGAATCGCCGCCGCCCCCTGCCTTTTTGGAAGCGCCACGTTGGGTTTGAGCTTGACCAAGCTATCGGGCCACGCATTCCCCGAGTGGGTTTCGAAAGCCTTCGGGGAACACGGAGTCGGGCGAGCTATCGGACCAGGTGGTTTCTGAGCTTTCGGGCCTTCCTGGAGGACGTTTTGGATGGCTCTTGGGCCGTCTTGGAGGCCTCTGGCGGGCCTTCGGCAAAGTCTAGAGCTATCTCCAGGCCATCTGGGGCCGTCTTGGGTGCATCTTGGAGCCATCTTCGCCGTCTTGACGGCCTTCTTGGCCGTCTTGGAGGCATCTTGGAGTCCACCTTCGCCGTCTTGGAGGCCATCTCGGCCGTCTTGGAGGCATCTTGAAGGCCATCTTGGCCGTCTTGAGGCCATTTTGACCCTTTCGGGCCTTTCTGGAGGACGTCTTGGAGGGCTCTTGGGCCGTCTTGGAGGCCTCTTGCGGGCCTTTTGGGCAGTCTAAGGCCATCTTGAGGCCATCTGGGGCCGTTTTGGGTGCATCCTGGGGCCATCATCGCTGTCTTGGAGGCTTTCTCGGCCGTCTTGGATACATCTTGGGGGCCATCTTGGCCGTCTTGGTGGCCATCTTGGGCGGCTTCGGGGCCATCTTGGGCCGTCTTGGGCTCTTTTTGGGGCCCTCTTGGGGGCCTCTTGGGCTGTCATGGGGCCATCTTGGAGGCCTCTTGGGCGCTCTAGGGACGATGTTGGTGGCATTTTGGGCCGTCTTGGGCCGTCGGAGAGCTGACAACAAGAAACTGCCCAAATCCTTCAAACACTTTAGGACCATCAATGATTTGCCCTTTCGGGCCTTCCTGGAGGACGTCTTTGAGGCCTCTTGGGGCCTCTTGGCCAGTCGTAGGCCATCTTGGAGCCATCTGGGGCCGTCTTGGAAGCTTCTTGGACGAACTTGAAGGCATCTTGGACTCTCGGACCGTCTTGGAAGCCATTTTGGACCATCTTTGGCGACCTGGACGCCGTCTTGGGCCATCTTGGAGGCAATCTCGGGCCACCGTGACCATCTTAGAGGCCATCTTGAGCCGTCTTGGAGGATTTTTTGCGGTCGTTCAGGTCCCGTTCGGGTGGCCAGCGGGACGGGCCGAAGCCCCAGGAAGAGTTCTTGTGGGAAAAGAACCAACATCAAAAGCGAAAGGCTTCAGCACGCCAGGCACCCCCATGATGAATCAATAGGGGGCGGCGGATCGAAGACGCCTACGGCGAATCACCACCGCCCCCTGCCTTTTTGGAAGCGCCTGCGTGGCCGAACGTTGGGTTTGAGCTTGGCCAGGCTATCGGGCCACGCATTCCCCGAATGGGTTTCGAAAGCCTTCGGGGAACACGGAGTCGGGAAGGCTATCGGACCAGGTGGTTTCTGAGCTTTCGGGCCTTCCTGGAGGACGTCTTGGAGGGCTCTTGGGCCGTCTTGGAGGCCTTTGGCGGGCCTTTTGGGCAGTCTAAGGCCATCTTGAGGCCATCTGGTGCCGTTTTGGGTACATCTTGTTGCCATCATCGCTGCCTTTGAGGCCTTCTTGGCCGTCTTGGATGCATCTTGGAGTCCATCTTGGCCGTCTTGGTGGCCATCTCGGGCGTCGTCGGTGCCATCTTGGGTCGTCTTGGGCTCTTTTTGGGGCCCTCTTTGGGGCCTCTTGGGCTGTCATGGGGCCATCTTGGAGGCCTCTTGGGCGCTCTAGGGACGATGTTGGTGGCATTTTGGGCCGTCTTGGGCCGTCGGAGAGCTGATAACAAGAACATGCCCAAATCCTTCAAACACCTTAGGATCATCAATGATTTTTGCCCTTTCGGGCCTTCCTGGAAGACGTCTTTGAGGCCTCTTGGGAGCCTCTTGGCCAGTCGTAGGTCATCTTGGAGCCATCTTGGAGCCATCTCGGGCCGTCTTGGAGGCTTCTTGGCCGAACCTGAAGCCATTTTGGACTCTCGGGCCGTCTTGGAAGCCATCTTGGACCATCTTTGGCGACTTGGAGGCCATCTTGGAGACCATCTTCGGCCAACGTGACCATCTTAGAGGCTATCTTGAGCCGTCTTGGAGAATTTCTTGTGGACGTTGGGGTGGTTTATGCTGCCTTGTGCGGACTTTCGGGTGGCCGGCGGGACGGGCCGAAGCCCCAGGGAGTTTTTCCCAAATAACCAAAATCGAAAGGGTCTAGCACGCCCCCATGTGGCAAGCCAACATGGGGGCGGCGGATCGAAGACGCCTACGGCGAATCACCACCGCCGCCCACTGCCCTTGTGGAAGCGCGCATGTGGCCGAACGTTGAGGCTGGGGCCCTGCCAAGCTATCGGACCATGTGTTCCCCGACTCGGTTTGGAAAGCCTTCGGGCAGCACGTGGGGGAGGACGGGGAAGGGGAGGAGAGCAAGGAAAAATGAGATAGAAGGAAGAGGCCTCTTGGGAGCTTCTTGAGGCACTGTGGGGCTCTATTGGGCCATTGTGGCGGTCTTGGAGGCATCTTGGGACCGTGAAACGCTCTCGGTCTCATGTGTTCCCCGAATCGGTTTGGAAAGCCTTCGGGGAACACGTGGGGGAGGAACAGCAAGAGGATGAGAGGGAGGTACAATGATAAAGGAGGAGGAGGCCTTTGGAGACCATGTTGAGCCATATTGGCCGTCTTGGAGGCGTCTTGGGGCAGTCTTGGGACCACTTTAGCCGTCTTGGAGGGAGCTTTCGTGGACCCTGAGGTCTTTTTATGGTCTCTCCTTATCTGTTGAAGCCCTCTTCGGGCCGTCTTCGGGGCTTGTTGGGCCATCAAGGGACCATCTTTGAGGCCTCCTGGGCAATCTTGGAGCTATCTCGGAGATCTCTTGGGCCGTATTGGGCTGTCGGAAGGCCCAACAGAAGCACATCCCACAATCTATCAACACCCGTAGGAAAACCAATGGTTTTGGCCTCTTCGGACGCTCCAGGAGAACGTCTTGGCGCCTCTTGGGGCATCTTCGAGGCATCTTGGGGCCATTGCGGCCGTCTTGGAGGGAATCTTGACCGTCTTGGAGGTGTCTTAGAGGCCATTCGGCCAATGAAGCAATCTTGAGCCATCTTGGAGCCGTCTTGGTGCCGTCTTAGGGGCCTCTCGGGCCATCACGGAGCCATCTTGGAGGCGTCCTGGGCGATCTTGAGGCGACCTTGGGGGCCTTGTGGGCCGTCTTAGGCTGTCGGAAGGACGAACAGAAACACATCCCGAAATCTATCAAACAACCAAGGAACACCATTGATTTTGGCCTCTTCGGGATCTCCTGGAGGACGTCTAGGATGCCTCTTGGCTTATCTAGGAGGCTTCTCGGGGCAGCCTGCCTTTTTTGGAAGCGCCTATGTGGCCGAAAGTTGGGCCAGAGCTTGCCCAAACTATGGGTGTTTCCCGAGTCGTTGTGGAAAGCCTTCGGGGAACACATGGGGAGGAAGAGGAGGAGGGGGATGATCAGGAAAAAGGAGGAAGAGGAGGAGGAGGAGGAGGAGGAGGAGGAGGAGGAGGAGGAGGAGGAGGAGGAGGAGGAGGAGGAGGAGGAGGAGGAGGAGGAGCAGGAGGAGCAGGATGAGGAGGAGGAGGAGGATGAGGAGGAGGCCTCTTGGGAGCCTCTTGGGGCACCTTGGGCCTCTTGGGGGCCTTTGGGGGCTTCTTGGGGGCTTCTTTAGCCGTCTTAGGGCGTCAGGGCCGTCTTGGAGGCCATCTTTGGGGCGTCTTGGAGGCCTCTTGGGCCGTCTTGGGGCCCTCTTGGGGCAGTCTTGGCGGCCTCTTGGGCCGTCATGGGGCCATCTTTGAGGCCTCGTGGGCGATCTTGGGGCGATTTTTGGGGCCTCCTTGGCCGTCTTGAGCCATCGGAAGGCCGAAAGAAGCAAATGCCAAAATCCTTCAAACACCTAAGGAAAATCAATATTTTTGGCCTATTCGGGCCCTTCTGGAGGACCTCTTGGAGGCCTCTTGGGCTGTCTTGGAGGCCTCTTGGGGGCCTCTTGGGCCGTCTTGGGCCATCTTGAGGCCATCTTAGGCCGTCTTGAGTGCATCTTGGGCCGTCTTGGAGATATTCGTGGCCGTCTCGGAGCCATCTTGGAGGCCATCTTGGGCCATCTTGACCGTCTTGGACGCGACAGGGGGAACCACCCGGGCATTTTCCAGAGTGTCCGGGACGGCAGCGGGACGAGCCGACGCCCCAGGGGGAGTTCTTTTGGAAAAAGAACCAAAACCGAAAGGATCTAGCACGCCAGGCACCTCTGTAATGAATCAACAAGTGGCGGCGGATCGAAGACGCCTACGGCGAATCACCGCCGCCCCCTGCCTTTTTGGAAACGCCGATGTGGCCGAAAGTTGGACTAGAGCTTGGCCAAGCTATCGGACCATGAGTTCCCCGAGTCGGTTTGGAAAGCTTTCGGGGAACACATGGGAGAGAATGATTATGAACAGGAAGAGGAAGAGGAAGAAATAGAGTAGGAGGATGAGGGTTGTTAGGAGTCTCTTGGGGCACCCTTGGGGTCTGTTGGGGGCTTCTTGGGGGCCTCTTCGAGGCCTCTTGGAGGCATCTTGGGGGCCTCCTTGGGCCTCTTGGGGGCCTTTGGGGGCTTCCTGGGGGTCTCTTTGGCCGTCTTAGGGCGTTCCTGGTCCGTCTGACGCCGTCTGGAGCCGTCTTGGGGGCCTCTCTGGGCCGTCTTGGGGCCCTCTTGGGGCGCTTCAGGGCCGTCTTGGAGGCCATGTTGGGCGTCTTGGAGGCCTCTTGGGCCGTCTTGGGGCGCTCTTGGGGCCGTCTTGGGGGGCCCTTGGGCCGTCATAGGGCCTTCTTGGAGGCCTCTTGGGCGATCTTGGGGGCCTCTTGGGCCGTCGGAAGGCCGAAAAGATGAAAACGCAAAAAACCTTCAAAAACCTAAGGAAAACCAATGATTTTGGCCTCTTCGGGCTCTCCTGGAGAACGTTTTGGAGGCCTCGTGGGCCATCTTGGAGGCATCTTGGGGCCATCTTGGCCGTCTTGGAGGGCATCTTGGGCCGTCTTGGAGGCATCTTGGAGCCATCTTACCCGTCTTGGAGGCCATCTTGGCCGTCTGGGAGGCATCTTGGAGGCCATCTTGGGCCATCTTGGCCGTCTTGGAGGCCATCTTGGGCCAAGTTGGGGCAACAAAGGCATTGACAGACGCATTTTGGGAAATTTACGGGTGGCCGGCGGGACGGGCCGAAGCCCACTGGGGAGTTCTTTTAGAAAAAGAACCAAAACCAAAACTGAATCATCCAGCACGCCGTGCACCCCTGTGGCAAGACCACAGGGGGCGGCGGATCTAGTGGCCTTCGGCCCATCCCGCCACCGTGCTTGGGTTGCCTATTGGATGTTCGTTGGGATCTCGTGGGAGGCCTCTCGGAGGTCTCTTGGTGGCAGTGCGGACGCCTCTTGGGGGCCGCTTGGGGGCCTCTTGGGGCCTCTTTCGGGCCTCTCGCCGGCCTCTTGGGGCCCCTTGGGGGCCTCCTGGGGCGGAAGGCTCAGATTTTCGGCTCGTGCTTCCTCTTTTTTGTGACCCTTTCGGGGCCGTCTTAGGGCCCTCTTGGACCGTTTTGGGCGCCTCTAGGGCTGTCTTGGCCCTTGGGTCGTTTGGGGGCCCTCTCGGAGGCCTCTTGGGCCGTCCTGGGGCGGTCTCGGGGCCCTCTGGGGCCGTCTGGGAGCGTCGGGTAGCCGACAAGGCGAGGTCGCCAAACTCCTTGAAACAATGATGATTTGGGCCTTCTCGGGCCCTCTTGGGAGGCCTCTTTGGGGCCTCTTTGGCCGTCTCAGGGGCCTCTTGGGCCGTTTGGGTGACATCTTGGGCGTCTTGGAGCGATCGTTCGACGACTCGGGGCCTTCTTGAACTGTCTTAGGCGCTTCTTGGGGCCCCTTTGGCCCGTCCTGGGGCCCTCTTGGGCCCGGACAATTCATGCGACAACGCTCGGGGGAGCCCAGGAGAACCGCGACAAGCCCCAAGAGATTTGGACCGAGGGGCTCCGGACCCCTTAACATTCCTCAGGAGAGGACTGAGGCTTAGAGGGGTAGTGAGAGGACCTGAGGACACGTCCACTCCGTGCCCAGAGGCACCATGGCGGATTATGGGTAATACTATCACTAGTGCTCTTATTTTTCGTATTACCATGATTTTTCATCGCTAGCACTACAATTACTCTTCTTCTTGTCCTCCTCATGCTTCTCCGACGCCCTCGCAAGCGCCCGCTCGGCGCTCCCTCTTGAACAGGCCGAGGGCGAGACTCAGGTGTGCTGTGCGGGCTACTGCGGGGAGTGCTCCGACTACCCCACGTGCATGACCGTCGCAGGGGGGATAAGGATGAGGATGATGAGGATGATGAGGATGATGTTGATGATGATGATGATGCTGATGATGATGATGATGAGGATGAGGATGATGAGGATGATGATGATGATGATGCTGATGCTGCTGCTGATGATGATGGTGATGGTGATGGTGATGATGATGATGATTATGATGATTATGATGATGCTGATGCTGATGGTGACGACGATGATGATGATGCTGATGATGATGCTGATGATGATGATGGTGGTGGGGATAAGGATGAGGATGATGATAATGATGATGATGATGATGAGGATGATGAGGATGATGATGATGATGATGCTGATGCTGCTGCTGCTGATGATGATGATGATGATGGTGATGGTCATGGTGATGGTGATGATGATTATTATGATGATAATGATAATGCTGATGCTGATGATGACGATGATGATGATGCTGATGATGATGCTGATGATGATGATGGTGGTGGTGGTGATGGTGGTGATGATGATGATGATGATGATGATGGTGGTGGTGGTGGTGGTGATGGTGGTGATGATGATGCTGTTGTTGATGACGATGATGATGGTGGTGGTGGTGATGTGATGATGATGGTGATGATGATGCTGCTGCTGATGATGATGATGATGATGACGATGACGATGATGATGGTGATGATGCTGCTGATGCTGATGATGATGATGAGGATGATGAGGATGATGATGATGAGGATGATGATGATGATGAGGATGATGATGATGCTAATGCTGCTGATGATGATGATGATGATGGTGATGGTGATGGTGATGATGATGATGATTATTATGATGATGATGATGATGATGATGCTGATGCTGATGATGATGACGATGATGATGCTGATGATGGTGCTGATGATGATGATGGTGGTGGTGATGGTGGTGATGATGATGATGATGATGGTGGTGGTGGTGGTGATGGTGGTGATGATGCTGTTGTTGATGATGATGATGGTGGTGGTGGTGATGTGATGATGATGCTGATGATGATGCTGCTGCTGATGATCATGATGACGACGATGACGATGATGGTGGTGATGATGCTGCTGATGATGATGATATGGATGATGATGATGAGGATAATGATGATGATGATGATGATGATGATGATGATGATGATGATGATGATGATGATGATGCTGATGCTGCTGATGATGATGATGATGATGATGGTGACGGTGATGGTGATGATGATTATTATGATGATTATGATGATGCTGATGCTGATGATGAGGACGATGATGATGATGCTGATGATGATGCTGATGATGCTGTTGTTGATGATGATGGTGGTGGTGGTGATGTGATGATGATGGTCATGATGATGCTGCTGCTGATGATGATGACGATGACGATGATGATGGTGATGATGCTGCTGATGATGATGATGCGGGTGATGATGATGATAGTGCTGATGCTGATGCTGATGATGATGATGCTGCTGCTGATTATGGTGATGGTGATGGTGATTATGATGATTATCATGATGATTATGATGATGCTGATGCTAATGATGACGACGATGATGATGCTGATGATGATGCTGATGATGGTGGTGGTGGTGGTGATGGTGATGATGATGATGAAGATGGTGGTGGTGGTGGTGGTGATGGTGGTGATGATGATGATGCTGTTGTTGATGATGATGATGATGATGGTGGTGGTGGTGATGTGATGATGATGCTGATGATGCTGCTGTTGATGATGATGATGACGATGAAGATGATGATGATGATGGTGATGATGCTGCTGATGCTGATGATGATGATGAGGATGATGAGGATGATGATGAGGATGATGAGGATGATGAGGATGATGATGATGATGATGCTGATGCTGCTGATGATGATGATGATGGTGATGATGATGGTGATGATGATGATAATTATTATTATCATGATTATGGTGATGCTGGTGATGACGACGATGATGATGATGATGCTGATGATGATGCTGATGATGATGAAGGTGGTGGTGGTGATGGTGGTGATGATGATGATGATGAAGATGATGGTGGTGGTGGTGATGGTGATGATGATGCTGTTGTTGATGATGATGATGGTGGTGGTGGTGGTGATGTGATGATGATGGTGATGATGATGATGCTGCTGATGATGATGACGATGACGATGATGATGGTGATGATGCTGCTGATGATGATGATGAGGATGATGTGGATGATGAGGATGATGATGATGATGCTGATGCTGCTGATGATGATGATGGTGATGGTGATGGTGATGATGATGATTATTATTGTGATTCTGATGATGCTGATGCTGATGATGACGACGATGATGATGATGCTGATGACGATGCTGCTGATGATGATGATGATGATGACGATGGTGGTGGTGGTGGTGATGGTGGTGATGATGATGAAGATGGTGGTTGTGGTGGTGGTGATGGTGGTGATGATGATGCTGTTGTTGATGATGATGATGATGGTGGTGGTGGTGGTGATGTGATGATGATGGTGATGATGATGCTGCTGCTGATGATGATGACGATGACGATGATGATGGTGATTATGCTGCTGCTGATGATGGTGCTGATGATGATGGTGATGATGATGATGATGATGATGCTGATGCTGATGCTGATGATGATGATGCTGATGATGCTGATGATGCTGATGATGATGATGTGGTGGTGGTGATGATGATGATGCTGATGATGATGATGATGATGGTGATGATGGTGATGATGATGATGATGATGATGATGATGATGATGGTGGTGGTGTGGTGGTGGTGGTGATGATGATGATGAGGAGGAGGAGGAGGCCTCCACCTCCAGAGACTCGATTATGTGTGTCCCAGGGAACGGGTCGAGAGATCTGGGGGCCCGCCGAATCGTCGGAGGTCTGCGCAAGAAGGAGGAGGAGGAGGAGGAGAGGGAGGAGGAGGAGGAGGAGAAGAGGAGGAGCAGGAGGGAGGAGGAGGAGGAGGGAGGAGGAGGAGGAGAGAGGAGGGGAGGAGGAGGAGGAGGAGGAGGAGAGGAGGGAGGAGGAGGAGAAGGAGGGGGAGCAACGAGCAGGTGAACAAGAGGAGGCCGAGGCTCCCCTCCAGAGGAGGTAGCGAGGAAGAATGAGGAGGATGAGGAGGGAGGAGGAGAGGAGGAGGAGGAGGAGGGAGGAGGAGGAAGGAGGAGGAGGAGAGGAAGGAGGAGGAGGAGGGAGGAAGGAGGAGGGAGGAGGAGCAGGAGGAGAAGGAGGGAGGACCTGGATCCTCTCGCGTCGCCACACGGCCTCGACGGATAGGCTTCAGCTTGCTGGGCCGCAGGGCTGCCAGGAAACGATGAAGGATGAACGGCCGATGCCAATTTCCACCACCGCTACCATACGGAGCTAGTACGGGGGGAGGTCCTCCTCCTCCTCCTCCTCCTCCTCCTCCTCCTCTCTTTCATCTCCTCTGCCTCCTCTCTCTACTCCTCGTACTGCTGCTCCTCCTCCCAGCTCCTGCTCCCAGGGCAGGGAGGCGGGAGCAGGAGTCCAGCCCCTGGGCCGCCCCCCCTCCTCCGCCGGTCCTCTTCCGCGGAGCTGCCGCGGCGAGCGGGGCACGCGCCGCGCGGGCCGCTCGCTACGTCTTCGGCCCGTGCTCGCGGAGCCGACCCTCCCTCCCTTCCCCCTCCTCCTTCCTCCTCCTCTCGTCCTCCTCATCCTCCTCCTCTTCCTCGTCCTCCTCCTCCTCCTCCTCCTAGTGGTGGTGGAACATCGGCCCATCAGAGGCCAGCCCTGGGAGTCCACGCTGTGAAGGAGGGCCAGGGGAGGGGGAGCGAGGGGGGAGCGAGCACGAAGCGGGGGAGGCGTTGATTTTTCTGGCGCTCCTCCTCAGGAGGAGGCGGAAGAGCAGGATGAAGGGCAGGGAGGAGCAGCAGCAAGAGGCGAGGACAGGGAAGGAGCATGATAGAGGAGGAGGAGGAGGACGCTTAGGAAGAGCAGGAGGCTGGAAGGTAAGAGTGAATAGTAGCAGCAGCAGCAGCAGCAGCAGCAGCAGCAGCAGCAGCAGCAGCAGCAGCAGCAGCAGCAGCAGCAGCAGTAGTAGTAGTAGTAGTAGTAGTAGCCGTAGTAGCCGTAGTAGCCGTATTAGTAATAGTAAGTAGTAGTAGTAGTACTAGTAGTAGTAGTAAGTAGTAGTAGTAGTAGTAGTAGTAGTGGGTAGTATTCGTACCCGTAGTAGCCGTAGTAGCCGTATTAGTAGTAGTAGTAGTAGTAGTAGTAGTAGTAAGTAGTAGAGTAGTAAGTGGTAGTAGTACTATAGTAGTAGTAGTAAGTAGTAGTAGTAGTAGGGTAGTCGTAGTGGGGGTAGTAAGTAGTCGTCGGAGTAGTATAGCATTAGTCTAGTTGTGTAGTAGTAGTAAGCAGCAGTAGTAGTAGGAGTCGTAGTAATAGCGTAGGAGTAGTAGTATCCGTAGGCGTAGTAGTAGTATTATAGTAAGCTAGTAGTAGTAGTAGTAGCTAGTAGTAGTTACCCAAGTAGTAGTAGTATTAAGTTAGTAGTAGTTTAGTATAGTAGTAAGTAGTGGTAGTCGTAGTAGTAGTAGTAGTAGTGAAGTAAGAAGTCGCAGTAGTAGTAGTAGTAGTTAGTAAGTAGTAGTAGTAGTAGTAGTAGTAGTAGTGGTAGTGGGAGTGGTTAGTAGTAGTAGTAGAGTATGTATAGTACCGTCGTCGTCGTCGTCTTCGTCGTCGTCGTCGTCGTCGTCGTCGTCGTCCGTCGTCGTCGTCGTCGTCGTCGTCGTCGGTCGTCGGTCCGTCGTCGCGTCCGTCGTCGTCGTCGTCGTCCGTCGTCGTCGGTCGTCGTCGTCGTCGTCGTCGTCGTCGTCGTCGTCGTCGTCCGTCGTCGTCCGTCGTCGTCGTCGTCGTCGTCGTCGCGTCCGTCGTCGTCGTCGTCGTCGTCGTCGTCGTCGTCGTCGTCGTCGTCGTCGTCGTCGTCGTGGTCGTCGTCGTCGTCGTCGTCGTCGTCGTCGTCG